TAAAAAAAAAAAAAAAGTCAATATTTAGACACTGGTAAAATACACAAGAGTAAAAATTTAAGTGTTTCTTTAAAAACTAACCCATACTCACACTTCCTGATTTCAAAACTTACTACAAAGGAACAGTAATCAAGACTGTGGTACTGGTATAGAGAGAGACAAATGGGTGCCAACACCATTCAACGGAAAAATCATCTTTTTAACAAATGGTGCTAGGAAACCCAGATATACAAATGTAGAAGAGTGAACCAAGATGGACCCTTACACCTCACATCATATTAACTTGAGACAGATCACAGACCTAAACGTAAGAGCTACAACTTTTAAAACTCTTAGAAGAAAACACAGGAATATTTATGACCTTGGATGGTGACAGTCTTAGAATATGATACCAAAGCCCAAGCAACAGCAAAAAAAAATGGATAAATTAGTCTTCATCAAAATTAAACACTTTTGTGCTTCACTACTAAGAAAGGGAAAAGACAACCCACAGAATGGGAGAAGTTATTTGCAAATAATGTATGTGATTAGGAGCTAATATCCAGAATATATAAAGAACTCTTACAACTCAACAACAAAAGGACAACCCATAAACAGACTGCACCAGTCTGGTCCAGGGCCATCTTTACCAGCTCCGTATTTGGGGGGAAGATCAGGGAGAGACAGAGGAGGGTGCGCCATCATAAGAGAATGAAAGACTTACTCTAGCTGGACCCACACCAACAAACATCTCCAAAAACTCAGAGCCACTAACAGTGATGAAAGGGACGTTGGCTTCTCCAGCTGTGGCCTTAGCTAGCAGTGTTTTCCCAGTGCCTGGAGGACCAGTGAGAATGGCACCCTTCAGATATAAAAAAGGAAAAGTATATTTAGCTAGAATTTCAGAAAAGTAAATTGCATATCCACAAACAATTCTAAGATATAAATCTGTCTATAAACTCTGATTATATAATAAACGTTCCTTAAACAACGATGGCAAAACATTTTTATAACAGTAAGAAGAGGAAGAAAAGGATTAGAGACTACCTTGTTTTAAAAAATGTAGTAAGAATGTAAAATCTTACATACTTCGCTTTAAGATTCTTAGCACTGCTTTTCAGATCTTTAGACTTAAGCTGAATATCTATTAATAAACCAACTGAGGTTGGGGCATCTGGGTGGCTCAGTCAGTTAAGCTTCTGACTCTTGGTTTTGGCACAGGTCATGATCTCATGGTTCATGGGCTGGAGCCCCAAGCTGGGCTCTGTGCTGATGGGATTCTCTCTCTCTCTCTCAATCTCAAAATAAATAAATTTTTAAAAATTTAACAGGTAAGTATAAAAAATAAATAAAATAAGCCAACTGAGGTTTACTTAAATAATTCAAAGAGACACAAACACCACACTCCCAAATTACATTTTGCTTATTTTCTTCCCTTTAAAATTTCACAAATGAAGTAAAAATCTAATGACCAACTATGAATGTAGTTAAAAAGGGAAAATGTGTTTGCTCAGTCTAATTATTCAAGTTGTATAGATGTTTAGGCATGATGTGCACAGATACTACATAAGTCAGAAAATTGTAAAATTATCAAATATGACTTTTCATCCACACAGGCATGATATGAAAATCAAGGAAACGATTTCCTTTACAAAGGATTCCTTTAAAGTAAACTTTATTAGTGGATTTTTTTAAATAATTAAACATCTTGGATTCATTTACTTAATGACCAAGCCTGGCCCTGGGAGTATAAGCATCAGTAAGGCCAGCCTGTCACCAGCAGCAGGCATGGGGACTCCTGGGAGGAGGAGGCTAGAATCAGTGCTATCTCTTCTCCACCAAATCCTGTGCCACGAATCTGAGTGCCAGGCCCAAGCAAATGGTCTGTTCAAACCTGCTAAGGGAGGGACAAGCGGGTGACAGCAGGAGGCAATGCGCTCATGTGCACAGTTACTGACAGATGGGGTATCCGAATCAGACTGGAGGGAGAAGGAAGGTGAATCAGGGAAGGCTTCCAAGGGGAGAGAACACAAATCTTTTCAGGAATATACACACCACATACAAGCAGACACATTGCCACGGAACAACTGACCTGAAAAAACCCTGGAGTAAAGCAGAGACTAATAAGACAGAAGAAGAAAAACAGCTACTTTGTCACAAGTAATCAAACTTCATAAAAGTATAACTTCAGAGATAAAAAATTCAAACAATTTTTGGGTTAATACGTTGAAAATAATCTGAACGTTCACTTTTTACCTTTGGGATTTTTGCTCCTAGGTCTTGATACTGCTTTGGGTTTTTCAAGAAATTCACAAATTCCATTATTTCTAGCTTGGCCTCCTCACAGCCAGCCACATCTTTGAACTTCACATCTATCTCATCCTTCAAGACTTTGGCAGTGGTTTCTCCAACACTGAAGAGTCCACCCATCCCCCGGCCTGTCCGGCCAATGCCGGCGGGCCCTCTCCGTATGGTGTACAGTAAGAAAGCGATGATAAGCACCGTGGGCAACATGCTCAGGAGAAACGAGCTAAATAAAAGAAACCACACACAACACTGACATGTTTTTAAGACTGTTACTCTTCGGCTTTTTAAATGTTTGCAAGATACACTTTTTGGTAACTGCTTAGGATATAATTGTAAACGTTTTCTATTTTTGTAAAACCTGAATATTCTAAATGTTTTATTTGAGGCACAAAGACAATCTCAGTGTCTCAATATCACTGACGTAGAATTGCTGAAGATGAGACCAAAGAAAAAACTGTTCTTAACACATATGCTGTCTACTGAGATTTTATTTCTATCCCAGTAATCTCCATTTATGCACGATACAGACCTAGCTGTAATTTACTATCATTATATCTGCATTTCAAAGAAACTTCTTTTGAATTACTTAGAAGTTTTAACATGACCTGGCGTTAGCCTGGGCAGAAATTGCAGTTCTCTTAATTGGAATTTGTCAACTTATTCTAAAGAGATGTCTTCTAAATATCAAACCCTCGCTCAGTTAACGGCAGATCAGTTTCAAAAGCCCTGTACACAATGGTGACAGCAATCTGTTGGTAAGCGCTGCACAGGCCACTCCGTGCAGCTTGTGCAGACTTAGCAGACTGACTCCCAGGGGAGCAATCTTTTGTCCTCCAAGCTCATGCTCTGGAGGGCGCTGCTCAGATAGGACTTAAAGCCTGGAGATACACACTCATATATATGAGTATATCCTCAGATATATACTCATATTGGTTAATATAATGCAAGTTAGCTGAACTTATCCTAAGAAATTAGGATCATAACCTTGTACACGGTTTAGCTCTAAAAAAAAAAAAAAAAAAAAAAAAAAAAAAAAAAAAAAAAAAAAAAAAAAAACCAGGATCTACTTTTTAAGTTTTCATCTTTTACAATTTTTTAAAGGCCCCCACAGCAGGCAGTAAGAACATAGAAAAATTTACCTTTGGTTTATTTCTGGAGGGAGAAAAAAGATACACTGACCATAGATGTTTAAGGAATGGTGCAACCAAACTTTCTGTAATGTTTCAGCAGCAGCTATACAGTTAAATGATTATATGACAGCCCCAGGACCCAAGGGATATAGCACATGTGAAACAATCTTGATAGCTATCTGGATCTAAAAACAGGTAAATTGTAGGTTGACACAACTAAGATGCAAGAAAGTCTCTAAAACAGAGTAATACTACCAGCTCAATTAGCACACTAGCAATTCATTTTTCTTTTTTGCCTGATTTTTTAAAATTTATTTTTGAGAAACAGAGTGAGACAGAGCACAAGTGGAGGAAAGGGTAGAGAGAAGGAAACAGAATCTGAAGCAGGCTCTAGGCTCCGAGCAAGTGTTCAGCACAAGAGTCCGACGCGGGGCTCAAACCCACGAACCGTGAGATCATGACCTGAGCCAAAGTCGGTCACTTAACCGACTGAGCCACCCAGGCGCCCCTAGCAATCCGTTTTTCTGCTCTTTTATTCAGAAAAATTAAGATTTACTTGTACTTTCACTCTTGAACTGCTAACTCCATAGCAAGGTACACCTCAATGCGAATGGAGTAACTGCCAGGAAATCTATCTGGGTGTTATACATGGATGAGTACTCAAAGGCCATAGATTTCCTATAGAAACTCAAAGACAAGTGACTCTTGAAATCAATGGGCCCTTCTTGGAGGCCTCAGACTTCTAACTGGTCTTATTAAAGATAAATAACCCCTAAGGGAACAAGCAAGCTCTGACAAGAGAAAAAAGAGTTACTTAAAATTCCTGGAAAACTCTGAAAAATAAATGTAAATCACATTCACAGAGCACAGTGAACAGTCTTACCCGTCACTTTCAGCAATGTAGACGACAGGAACCCGATTCTCCCCTTCTATGCCCAATTCCTGCTGTAAAGTTTCCAGATTCCGCTCAAAGGTGTCCACACTGCCAATATTAAACCAGACGTATTGCTATAAAAACACAAAACAAAATATCCTAAGAATGAAGGGGAAACAAAGTTTAATTTACCAGAAGGTTCAACTTTCAATGAATTTTTCAGAAATACTGAAAATTTAGAAAGTGAAAAAAACCCCACAATAATAAAGAACTGGTTTTTTTTTTTTTTCAACGTTTATTTATTTTTGGGACAGAGAGAGACAGAGCATGAACGGGGGAGGGGCAGAGAGAGAGGGAGACACAGAATCGGAAACAGGCTCCAGGCTCCGAGCCATCAGCCCAGAGCCCGACGCGGGGCTCGAACTCACGGACCGCGAGATCGTGACCTGGCTGAAGTCGGACGCTTAACCGACTGCGCCACCCAGGCGCCCCATAAAGAACTGGTTTTAATGATGCAGTGATTAAGTTTCACTCAATGAGAGCACGTGGCAATCCTTGCAAATAAGCATTTCTTAAGCAATATTCCTTAGTGGTTCTACAATTATACACTCAAATGAAAAATCTATTAAAAGTCCTTTTCATAAATGTGTCCTTTTCTGCTTCTTCATTTCCCACGTATTTCTCAGCTATTTCCAAACTGAAAACTAATGTGATGCAGTACTAACAGCCAAAGTTTCCTGAGCACTTACTAAGGGTCAGGCATGGCTCTTAGCCCTTTATATACACTATCTCATTCAATCTTCAGAACCACCCTAAGAAGTAGGTACTATCACCAGAAGTGATACTCAAAATCTGAACGTGAGGAAGGCACCCCACCGCCCAATGAGAACAGAAGCGTGCTTCGCTGTGCCAGCTGTTACTCTTCTATTCACTTGATCAGGTGAGTTACTGAGGCCCTGGGGAGGCACCAATGAAGGATTTGAGGCAATGGCTACTTACCCCCCCACCCCAAAGTATTCCCCTTTGTGCTAGTTGTTTACCGGCTAAGTATCAGCCCTGACTCTTACTGTCCCCATTTTACAGATGAGAAAACTACAGGGGTGACTTCACTTGCCCATGGTTACAAATCTAGTAAGAGGCTGGATCTGCACCCGAGGAGTGTGGCTCCTGAGCCAGTGCTCCTAACCAGCATGTCACACTGCCTCTCTTCTACAACCACACACGTACTTATAACAGCTCACATTTATGGAGTTTTACTAATATGTTAGAACCTGTTCCAAGCCCTATGCAAGTATTAGCCGCATTTTCTAGCACAAAAAGACTCTGTTCCTCCTCTAACCTGTAATCACTTAAAAAAAGTTTTAATCAAAACAATAAATCTATGTCATAAAAACTCAATTCAAAAGTGTGCACAGAAGAGAGTAACATGTCATCCCAAAGTCCTCCCACCAACCAGTGCTACTGAGTGCAGAACAGCACTCTGGTATTTCTCTCCAAATATCTAAAAACAAAAGATGGAGAGTAGTTTTATAACAGATATATTTTTTCTTAAGTTCCTTTAATAGTATTATCTAACAATTCTTGGTAAGTTGTTCACTGACAAACCTACAAAATTCCTGCTATTACAAGCCCAAAACAAGTCAATAATAGGTTAGCCACATGAGACTAAGCATTCCCTTACTTAACACCTACTCTCAACTGGACACTGTGCATGACTCAACATCAGACAAATGGGGCAGATAAAGAGGACCAGCAGCATGAGATTTGGGGACAAGATCTAGAGAAGACCCACCGGGGGTGGGTCTCAGCTTTCCAAGTGATTCTTACACACAGTGAAGTTTGAAAACCCCCAATGACATTCAAGATCTCATTTCAGCACTAAGCCTTAAAGCATTATTATTGCCCTTCCCATCTTAGTGATAAAGAAACCCAGGCTTATGGGAGTTGGCCATATAGCTAGTAAAGAGCAGAGCTGATCTGAAGCCTAGTCTGTCAAACTCCAAAGCCTGTGCTTCTACAGCTAACACTTAAGTAACACTGCTACTCTATAAGTAGCAGGACACCAAAAATCATCTACCCATTTCTGAAAACTCAAAATAAAGTTTTTATTAAGTAGGTATTACATGTTCTCTGGGGAAAACTACAGTAATATAAACATAAATAAAATAAAAAGCATCTGTAACCTCAACATCCAGAAACAAACACGACTAGCAACTTTGATGCCATTCCTTCAAGATTTCATAATAGCCCCTTTACTATCTTGAAATACATGCACAATTTTGAAATTGATATAAAACCTTAACCATAATATAAAGGATAAATAAAAGGAAAGTAATTTATAATAAAATGGTACGCATTTCAATACATAAACGTTTGTGCATGCCAGCACTAGATGTAAAAATTGCCCTCTAGGGAAGAGGACTGTCCTGCCGAGCCACTGCTCCAGCGGCGAGATTAAAGCAAGAGAAATGAGGAGCCCTTATTATTAACCAGGTGCCTAATGTGGGCATTTACTGATTTCCAATTTTCTGCTCTATAAACAATGTTTTGGAGGACATCCTGCATACACATCTTTACATGCATCCTTAAGTATTTCCCTAGAGTACAGTCCTAGAAGCAAAACTACTGAGTGTGTGCATACTTTCAAAACTGCTGATATACACACTGCCAAACTGTCCTCTTGAAAGGGAGTGCCAATTTAATTCCCAGCACTAAAACTCTGAGGAATAGTTCTGAGAAAAAAAAAAAGGAGCATGGTTATTAACGATCATTTCATCATAAGGCAAAAAGAATGGGAAGTGGGGTAGAAATGAAGACAATTAAAATAACTTACTCCTAAAAGTGACTGAAATACCAAAGCCACACAACTTTAGAGACATTCCTCTTTTTGTCGACATGTTTCAGACAGAGATGGTCACCATCAGTTCTAGTTTTCTTTACATGTTGCCCCACCCAGGCAAGGTGACCAGGAAATGGTTACACAAAATCATCTGGAAGGAGGGATGCAACGTGGTAAAGGAGGTCTGACCCTGGGGGAGGGCAGTAAGACAGCAGGACACCAAGGGACTAGAGATGGGCCCCCATGGGGGGATGGGAGGCCTGGGAATCACCTTGGAATCACCTGGGAATCTCATCTGCCCCACTGCTGTCCTCCCCCACAATCCCCTCAACCCAGTCTAGGATATCTGGAATAGAGTTCAAACTGGCTGGACAGGATTTACAAATTAGGAGCACCTGGGTGACTCAGTAGGTTAGGCGTCCAGCTTTGGCTCAGGTCATGATCTCGAGGTGCGTGAGTTTAAGCCCTGATGGGCTCTGTGCTGACAGCTCAGAGCCCGGAGCCTGCTTCAGATTCTGTGTCTCTTGCCCCTCTCCCGCTCGTGCTCTGTCTCTCCCTCTCTCTCTCTCTCTCAAGAATAAACATCAAAAAAAATTTAATAAAAAAAATTTTTTAAAGGATATACATATTTTTTTTTGAAATGAGAAACGAAATGGAAATTAAAAGAATAAAATATCACAAAACAGTTGGGAGAGATATGATCAGAACGCTTCTTAAACTGATTTGAAAAAAGCTGTCTCAAGACATACACAATTCAGATTTAACAGTTTTTCCCTAACCAAAACAACTGTTCTCTCAGTCTTGAAAAATTCATACATGATACTAGAATACCGAAAACTGGGATTTCACCATTTCCTAAATGCACAGCAGAACAATTACCAACCAACCCCAAAAAACTGACCAACTTCATAAGGCAACTACGTACGGCATGCACATTCTCCCCTGTGTGCGTTAGAGAGGCCTGTGAGTGCTGTGCTGCCCGAATCTGGCATAGCTGGTGCACAGAGCTACTGCAATGTGAGGGAATGCTTGCTTTCTGACTCTAAATCTGAAAAGTGAATTTACAGCTAATCCACATCAATTAATAAAAATCATTTACCCCATCAACAGGAGTTTTTCCTGGTATAAAAGTCACTCGAACAAAACGCTTGTTGACGACTTCCAGTCTGTCTACCTGGAATTTTAAAAAGTTAATATTCAAACATAAATTTACAGAGAAGACATGAGATATTCTTTTAAGCCCATTAAAATTGCACATGGTATTTTAGATGTACAAAGAACAATGATGAACAACATAAGGAGGCCCCGTTGTTTCCCCTTCTGGCTTGAAAAATAAAACATCACAAATGCTGTTGAAGCCACCAGTCACGCCCTCTTCCCAGAAGTGGACACTCCCCACATTAGGTGCTGACTGTCCCAAAGCCTGTCCTGGTGCCTGTGCCACACAGATGTAACCCTGAACATACACTCACTGTCACCTTTTAGACTTTAAAAATGGTCCTGCTTGGTGTATATTCTTCTACGACTCTTTTTCCCTTCCTGTCGTATTTGTGAGGTTCATCCCTACTGACAGGTCAGATCTGCGGGGTACTCCACTTTGGGAGCACACCCCAAGTTATTTATCCATTCTCCTGACAGACATTTAGGCTGTTTCAAAACGTTCACTATCGTAAGCAATGCTGTCATGAACATTCCTGCAGATAACTTCTTGGGCACATCTTTAAAGGTTTCTCTGAACATGTACCTATAGACAGATCCAGTAAGGCTGGGTTGCAGGGTACACATACTTTACTATTCTATATTATACTATTAATAGTACATTTACTATACTATCATTTACTATTCATTTACTATACATGAAACTGCTCTCCAAAGTGGCTCTCCAATTCACAGTGCACAGCAAAATATTCTATATCCTCACATATTGGTCTACATCCTCACTTGCTAACAGAAGACTTTAATTTTCGCCATTCTATGGGTATAAAATAATAAAAACTTGCTTTTTTCTGTAACATCCTAACTACATAGGATTCTTAAGAACACTTTTAAAGACCTTCTAAGTTCTTTAACCCTAAGTTCTAGGTTGATCTGGAGCATGAGCCCTTTGGAAGAAGCTTGCTTTCTGCTGCCATTAAATCTGCAATGGCAGGCAGTTTGTGAGGGAGCCCTGGGTAATTCCAGGAGGAGGTGGAACAGGGAACTACCTGTTCCTAAAGCACGTCATCTGGAAAGGACTAAAGTACTCTACCCCCCATAAAACTGCTGGAACAACAGTAGACAGATTCCAAAGAACCAGTAGGCCAAAAGGAGATGCCTCTATGGAGAATCTTCCCTGAGGCCCTATCACCACACTTTGAAGGATAGCTGTAGCCCCCTCCACAACCAGACAGGAGTTACTTCTTAGAAGGCAGGCTCCCTAAAACATCTGGGTATTATACATAAATATCCTGGCTTCCATGAGAAACATTAACCTCAAAAGTGTGAGTAAGTAATCATTTCCATCCTCACCTTATTGGACAATCTTTAAAAATAACTTTTGTTTTCTATGCTACCAGTAAGTATTACTATCTTACCTTTATTTTATCAATTTCATTGATGAAAAGCCCAACACCAAGAGGTTAAGTAATCTCCCCACAGTGACACAGCAGGGCCTAACCTGGTTTCTCACTATCACTTCATCAATTCTAAGGTGGACATTTTTCATAATTTAACATCTGAGAAATTAGGATATGTTTGACAACTGGTATTTTCTAGTTTCACTGGCAGCTTACTAAATTTTTCTTAGGAATGGATAAAATAATGCATCTCACAGGCCACAGCATCTCAAAGATGCTGATGTAGTCTCACTGGGTAAAGCCCCACTGGTAGTGACAAAGGCTCCCAGCAGCCCTGCCTGGGCCCCCACTTAGAGCCCATCCGCTCTCACTTTCAACACTCGGAGTCACTTAGGCACCCAAGTCCAAGCTCATGGGAGATTAAGAGCCGTGGAGTCATAAAGGTGCCGGGAGAGGCTGGCACATTCTAGCAGGGGGAAGGCGTGACTGAGGACACACAAGAAAATGAAAGGAGACAGAGGACAGCCGGAGCAAGGTGAAAGCTAGGTTCTAGTAGAAGTGAAAGAAAAGGATTTTGTGGTAAATCGGGGGACAGCTGGGCCAAAACAAATAGGGTTCTTCATTGCAATACTTTACAGCATTAAAAAAAAAAAATCAAGATGAAAACAGTAACTTTACAATGGACAAGCTGGCTAACTTAGTTGACTGTTACTTTGTTGGCCCAATCTACTGAATTTCACCTTTTGAACCACTATAAACCACCAATCCAATAAAATACTTACTACTCCTTTGGAAAGATAGTTATTGACAAAGTCCTTCCAAGTGATTTCTCTCCCGGAGCTCTTGAACAGGAAGTAAAACATGACTCCACCCCAAAACAGAGCAGTCCAGAGAAAGTACATCCGGAATTCCTTGTCATCCCATGGAAAATCACCCTGGGCAAAGAAGGAGACAGTCTCTGTGAAGAATGAAAGGTCACAATAGGATCTATGCTATATTGGACACAAATCCCTCCCAACCTCTCCTGGGGCCGCTCCAGATCCTCCAAATTAACACACAGCCTGGAATCAAACCTTCTGGAATCTGGACCACCAGTGAGAATCATCTTTCTTGCCACCTCGTTTTCCACTGCCACCAACTCCTCCTCCGGAAGGGCGCGGGGTAGCAGCTGGCTTTGATTCTGTTCATAAACAGAGAGCACATACCGCAGCACAGCAGCATTTTACATCTCTCCACAAAGTTTTCATTAATGCAGCTTAACAAAAGACTTACTGCAAAAGTTCTAGCAATAACTTGTTAATCTTTTTTCATTAAGAAGTATCTAGAACCAACTATTAACAGCTGTGACCTCGTTGTCGTGTTATATGATTAGAAATAAATGTAGGCTTTTTCTTTCTGGGAATCAGAAGTAAGAAACCCGTTAGCACCCCTTGTCACAGCTTCTCATCAACCAGCAATTCTGGAATCAGCCTGTTTTGTCATGGTGTCCCGACCACATTCGTTGTTGTATTCAAAGTTTGGATGAGTTTGAAGGAAATACTGTTTTCACTCTGTTGTAACTAACATACGTGTCTTTGATGTTACTATAAAATAAGGAGGCAAAGTTTCAACGGGCACACACTAAGGGTTAGATTATTTGACAGTTACACCAGATCCTTGTAAGGCAATCCAATCCTGTACCTCAACTAGATTTAAACCAAGCATAAAAGTCACTGGGCACAGAATAGCTAGCTATATTCCCGGGAAACCAAAGCATCAATTTTGTTGCTATTGTGGTTTTAGAACAAGTTTTGACCTTGACTGAGGAATCACAAGTATATCTAGGACTGGAATCCATGTTTTTTCAAATGACCTTGACACCTTAAGATTTTACTTAATTTCTTTATGCTCCTGCCAAGTAGGAACAATAAAATGTGAATAACACCACCTTCCTTAGTATCAAAAATGAGAGTGAAGTTCCATAGTCTCTGAAAAAAATCAAAACATTATACAAATCTAAAAAAAAAAAAAAAGACTTCCTGCAAAACAGCTTATGGCAACCGATCATTCTGCCATGAGGAAGAAAAGAGACTAAGAGCATTCAAGGAGGCTTGCCAGTGCTTTCCACACGTTATCCGCGATACCTGCACAATATACCAACAACCAGGTAAGTATACGACTATACCCGTTTTACAGATAAAAAGGTGTAGCTTAAGGAGCTTGGTAAGTAACTGGATGCAGTGTTAAGTGACACTGAGGAGTGACAGAGCTGTGACTGGAATACAGGTAAATGAATTCCTGAGTTCCCAGTTGAAAGCACAAGGTAGGTGCTCCCTTTTCCCACTCCCATGAAGTGAACACTGTTAACACTGTTTCTTTCTTCTGTAGGCAAGGCGTGATTTTGATAACTGACTAAAAAAAAAAACAAAAAAACACCAAAAAAAAAAAAAAACCACCTTACCCACATGAAATTAGTTTCCCAGAATCTGAAATTAGTCACTGTTAAGGGTTGAACAGTGCCCCCTGCCCCCCCAATTCACATGTCAGGAGTCTTAGCCCATTGTGATCTTATTTGGAAATAGGGTCTTCACAAAAAAAAACTGTTTAAGTTTAAAATGAGGTCCTATGGGTGAGTCCTAATACAATATAACTGGTATTCTTATAGAAAGAGTAAATTTGGACACAGACCTACACAGGGAGAAGGTGGTGCCAAAAGACACAGGAAGAAGACAGTCATCTATAAACCAAGGAGAAAGGTCTGGAACAGATCCTTCCCTCATGGCCCTCAGAAGAAATCAACCCTGCTGACACACGGACTTTGGGCCTCCAGCCTCCAGAACTGTGAGGCATTCGTTTGTTGCTCATGACACCCAGGTGTGGTAGCCTGTTACAGCAGCCCTGGGAAGCTAACACCTTTCTCCCCACCCCCACATCCTCTCAAAGAATCACAAATACTACTCTAACACCTTCACCTACCACAAAGCGACCCCTCCGTTGTGTAGGATGGGAGGCTGACATATTCATCCCCCATGATGCATACAAGGAGTTTCTGCACCAGTCCTAAGTGAGGCAGGGCCTGAGAGAGAAAGCCCTACCTGTAATGAGGCACAGCACTAGGAAACAGAGTCAAGTGCGTTTCTGAAGTTGTTTGACAACATCCCCTACTATTCCGGGACAAAGGAGCACCTATACAAAAGGTACCCAACTGGTTGTAGTTTAAAAACGGACCTACTATCATTACTCTGCCCCAAACCAAGATAAAAAGACTGCCCACCACACCCCTGGGAAACACTGCACAAACTGCCCATGTCACCAAAGCTCCAATCAGACCACACTTGCGCTTCTCCCTTCTCTTGGCCTCGCTTTCACTCCTTGCATTTTTTGAGTATCTATTTGTTTCTCCAACTAGATCCAAGTTCATTTCAAAACGAGGGCTGAGGGGCGCCTGAGTGGCGCAGTCGGTTAAGCGTCCGACTTCAGCCAGGTCACGATCTCACGGTCCGTGAGTTCGAGCCCCGCGTGGGGCTCTGGGCTGATGGCTCAGAGCCTGGAGCCTGTTTCCGATTCTGTGTCTCCCTCTTTCTCTGCCCCTCGCCCATTCATGATCTGTCTCTCTCTGTCCCAAAAATAAATAAACGTTGAAAAAAAATTTTAAATAAATAAATAAATAAAAACAAGGGCTGAATTACATTTTTCCCTAAAAACAAAGATGCCAGCTGAAATGTGCCAGGCATTGTGCTAAATGCTATCACATGTGGGAAATGGGGACAGGAGTCTCAGGGCCTACATAGTCCCCCCCCAGCCACCAAAAACACTGAACCACACCAAAATATGTACCAGATAAATTGCATGTATTAGATTTCTAAGATTTTTCTCAATGATTTAGGTTACATGTCAAATATATTTACCAAGCATGATATAACAGATACTGACCACTCAATATCTCTAAGGTGACCTTAAATTAATTCGATTTAAAAAATGACAAGAAAATATGAACAGAAAATTAAGGTGAAATGAAACACAGGGTCTGTAGAATTTTGTACGTACTTGTAACCTCTCACTTCAGAACTGCCTTAAGAGAACACGTGCTTTGTTCGGTAAAAATTATCATCCAACATCATATACTAGAAAACAGTAAGTTCAAACATAGTCTTTTTAAAAGGTACCTTTTTTTTCTCCCACAACTTCTTTAGTTTCACTAGCTTTTTTCCCATTTTTTCCATTAGGAAAGTATTTTTCAAATCCTGTTAGAAAAGAAAAAAAAATACACACCCTCAAACTAAAACTCATTAGGTTTTATGTATGCGTGTTCATTTTTAAAGCTGATACATCATTAAAAAGTATAAGCTATAAGTGCAACATTTCTTGTGTAGGAGTAAGTCAAGGTCTAAATAATACAGTTCAAAAAACAGAGGTGTTAAAGAAAAAAGCCTGATTTGCAAGCCAATTTCATTACCTACAAAAGTGTTATAATCAAAGGAGATACATTTTCATCACTGCAATCAGACAAAAGGAAGTAGGGGTCGGATTACTGGAGGAGACGGAAGTTCAAGTCAACTCGAAATAACAACTATGCATCTATTTAGTAAACACCTGCTGCCAGCACATCTTTAACAAGAATGCAGAACATTATGATCCCACCTAAGTGTGCTTACCTTTTGGAGGTCGAGAACAGAATCTTTGATAAGCAGCAATTACATCTGTCAAGAGAGAATTTCTGCTGGTTGTTGCTTGGGTTGTAGCATATCGACAAAGCTGCAGCATAACATATAAATAAAAGCATAAAGGTTATATCAAAATAAAAAAGTTTAGAAGAACTTCCTTTCCTACTATCACAAATATCCTAAATTCAAAAACATTGAATTAAATGTTTCTCCCTTCAATGGGTGGTTACAGACTAGCACAGCCATCACCCCCATTTATTTTTTTTTTTTTAATTTTTTTTTTCAACGTTTATTTATTTTTGGGACAGAGAGAGACAGAGCATGAACGGGGGAGGGGCACAGAGAGAGGGAGACACAGAATCGGAAACAGGCTCCAGGCTCTGAGCCATCAGCCCAGAGCCCGACGCGGGGCTCGAACTCACGGACCGCGAGATCATGACCTGGCTGAAGTCGGACGCTGAACCGACTGCGCCACCCAGGCGCCCCAGTCACCCCCATTTAAAGAAAGGACTAGGGTTGCCTGGGACTCCGCCACTCTATTCCAGTAACCAAACCAAGAGACATTAATTATGATCCAGAAGACAAGAATACTTCAAAATCATGCCTAAGTTAGAATTGTGGCCCCATTACTATTCTCTGCCAACACATTCACTTTGGCATTGTTTACTTAATTTGTAGCACTCAAAAGACAAACTGACACAGAAATCTGCTCCTTCATGCTGTCCCGTGGGCAGGGTCTATAAAACTGCAAGACATTCACCTGAAATTACAGAACAGTGTGGCTTGTAAATATAATACTAAATTCCTCCTAGTTCCAGGAGAAGGAAGTTACAGTCCCACATCACTGATAATCCTTACTCTAGTTAACATTTGTTAAAGATATTCGATATACTGTCATCCTGGTGAGAACGCTGGTGATACAAAGTCCCATTACAGATACATCTCTGCCTTAATAACATATGTTGCTAAAACGTTACTTTTTAAAGTAAGGTCTAGGTAAATCAAAGTATAACATAAACATACTGAACAAGCTCCCTATTAAATTTTTAGGCACACAATTAAAAGCAAGGTTCATTGAGGGGATACATCCAAATCTGGCAATGAAAAACTTCAAGTAATCCTATCCCTTTGCAAAGTGAAACTTCATCACCAGTTTTTGGGAGGACGAACTTCTAAATACAGATGAAAATGTTTAAAGTGAAGTTCATCTGTATTAGCATCCACCAGCATTGCTGCCTCTATGGTCTGATGAGGAAAACACAACATCGGAAAACCACTTCACATCCACTAGGGTGACTATGATCAAAAAGACAGTAAGAAGAGTTGGTGAGAATGTGGACAATGTGGAGAGCAGAGCCCTTGTGCACTGTTGCTGGGAATGCGGAGCGGTACAGCCACTCTGGAAAAGTTCAGCATTCTCAAAACATTAAATGCAAAGTTACCAGATGATCCAGTCAGTCCACTCCTACCCAAGAAAATGGAAAACATATGTCCACACAAAACCTTGTACATGAACGTTCACAGCAGCATTATTCACTAGAGCCAAAAAGTAGAAACCCAAACGACAATGAACAGATACATGTGACACACTAAAAAAACGAAATATTCAGCCATAAAAAGGAATGAAGCACTGATACATGCTACCACATGGATAAACCTTGAAAACATTAAGTTAATAAGTTAAAGACACTGGACACAAATGGCCACATAGTATATGATTCCACTCATATGAAGTGTCCAGGATAGGCAATCTATAGAAGCTGTAGATTAGCAGTTGCTGAGGGCTGGAGGAATGAATGGTTGGGGAAAAATGGAGAGTGGCTCTAACTGGTTACAGGCTTTGGGGTGATGAAACGTTCTGGAATTAGTAGCGATGGTTGTATAACCATGTGAATATACTGAAGACCACTAAGTTGTACACTTTAAAACGATTAATTCTATCGGATGTGAATAACAAAATGTCAATAATTAAAGAATCAGCTGATTTTACTTCAGATTAAAATACAATTCTACACAGCAAAATAAGACAGAAACACTGACAATGATCTTGGTTGACAGCAATGCTGGTCTGACAGAATTTGGAGCTTCTGTTGTGTTAGCCCTCCCCGACCCCTGGGAACACTTGGCCTATGAAACAACCACTAATAACAAATAATAACGTATCATAAACGAATAAAGTTTTCCAATACCAAATCCATTAAGGGTAAAATTAAAATGATTTGTTAGTCAAGATGGACAAGGCAGCAAGTCACACTGATTCACTGAGCCATCTACTCTAGGCCATGCACTGCTAAGTGGTTCGGAGTCCCCAGTGGGGCAGGTTGGGCAGGGTTGGAGGTCAGAAGCAATCCTTACCTCCAGGAAGCTCAGAAGTGTAAGGGAGAGTATGGGGACAAATCTATCACAGGATGGTATAATACACGTAACAATACAAAACCTCTAGGTATATACAACAGAGGTAGGTAGCACAGAAGAGGAAGTGATTACATGCTCAAGGGACCTAAGGATGTTACAAGTAGTGATATCTAGGTCTGGAATTTGAAGGAACCATAATCACCAGGCAGACGGTGTCACAATTTTTAATTCTGTTAAAGCTGGAAATCTGAATTTTTTGACTGATGATCTTTAACACATCTGGTAGGAACTTCAGTTACACATCTACTATAGGAGAAAACGACTAGTTCCCAGGGATGCTACCATGAGGATCAAATGTAATAACGCATGTAAAAAGCACTGTTAAAATCGTATGATGATACCTAAATTCAAATGATCATTTCCAATTACTCTGAAAGCTTTTTGAGAGTAAGGGCTCATCATCACCTTATCAAGTAGGTCTTTATGTCACCATAAAGTACAGAATTGGACACAAGGTATGTACTCCATAAATACTTATTGGCCAGTAAACCGCCTTCAGGCTCTGTCATCAAATCGTGTTGACCTGGAATACCTCTAGCAATAATCCTATAACTACTTTTAATGCTGCTGAAGTTATTTTCTCTACAGGCACCATCAATGAAACTTTGCTTATCTAATCCAAGCTCATTCAAAGGATAATATAAAAAAAAAAAATATCAACTCACAAGATTTAAGTTCAGAGCACCTCATTTTAGAGGATTATCTTTTATGTTTGACATTAGGAGCACTTTTTAGCTGCTTTATCATCAGTCTTATTTCTCTGAGCATAAAACCTGAGAATGGACACCTCACATCAAAGTCTTCCCCAAGAAAACTGTGAGAATCGTTCTTGTCTCTGACCTTTAACAGCAGCACAAACCTAAAGGACAAAGTCCTTTCAGACTCCCTTGCAGGTAGCACAAGAATGCCCTAATGTCCCCAGGGAATGTGTCACAGATTCCCCAATCAATCAGCTATTGCTATCAGCACAGGGGACTTCCTTATACCTCAGCGTGGAAGACGCACAGGACAACAGTGCCACTCAAAAGAGAAAGGGCCCAGACAAGATTCCTGACATAAAAACTGCAAACTCACAAGGCAGATCCCTACCTGCTCATTACAGGTCTGAGTCCAGTATTTACTAGGGACAAAAGGAGACGGCAAGATACTATGGCAAAATGGATGTAATGCAGGAAACATGAGGCCTAGTGCAGGGCAGCAGGGAGTAAGAAAGAAATTAAGATACCCAAGACAGGCAACAAAGCTTCGAAGAGTAAAAATCATGAATGCAGGTACTATTAATATGCGCTTTTAAATGGAGAGGCTGAAAGTGGTTCCTCAAGGGCATCTGGCTAGTAAGTGGCAGGTTCCTGTGACTGTCTCCAGGGCCTTAACCACCATGCTCTTTTGCCCCCATGCTCCAAGTAACCAATGCAAGGCTGGTCTCTAAAAAACTGGCAGACAGCAAGAAACCGTCACTGAAATAGCTGATATCGCCTACCCATTACATGAACCTCTACTTGACAGATTACAGCCACGGTCCGGTGACAACACACTATAGTCACTCCAGAAAACGGTATTACCATAGCCCATACGTGTGAAGCCCTGTTACCACCAACAGAGAAATAGCCTCCCACTGAGGACAGGGCTTCTTATGCAACTAAAAACATCCTCTACTCTGAAGAGGTGACGTTATTAATAATCATAGTTAGTATGTATTATCTACTATGGGGCAGACCCAGAATGCCAGCAATAGTCCCATTCAACAGATGGGGAAATGGGGGTTCAGAGGTTGATTAGCTTACCTCCAAAACCTGTGCTATCATTAAATCACGCTCAGGCTGCCGACCCTTAAAACACATGCACAGCACCTGCTTTCTATTTTTCCAATACCATGAAAGCAGCTCAAAGTAAGGCAACCCGTGCTGGAGATATAACAAATTCCTTAACGTTTTTAGGTCTCAGTTGCTTTACCTGTAATATGGTTCGGCCCTGAATCAAGTCAGAGGACCCTCCCAGATGATTATTTTGAAGCTCCCTGACGCAAATATCTGATTCTACCTGTTTTCAAAAATCCAATTCTCTACCAAGGGTCTGACACGCTGATGGGACCCACGGGATAAATGATCTGAAACGCAGGGCGTCCTGGCATGGAACACGCAGCGCACGCGGCCTCATTCACGCGAGGAAGCCGCCCCTGACGCCCGCGAGCGCGCCCAGGGGCCGGTGACCTTGACGCCTTGCTCTCCAGGGCCGGAAGCGGGCCCGAGGGCCGAGCCGGGCCGGAGGCGGAGGGCGCTGGGCCTCCGGGACTCACCGTGCGGAGGTAGGACCGCTCGGTGGGGCCCATGCGGCCGCCAGGCACGAGCAGCGGTGGCAGGCCGCGGGGCCAGCAGCCGCCCCGGCCCCACAGCCGCAGGCAGCGGTGCGCCATGGCCGCCAGCGCCGCCCGCTCGGGCCGGGGGCGCTGCGCAGGCGCGGCTGGGCGGCCGGCGGCGGGCAGGCGGCGACGGCTGGCCTCGGGCCGCGGGAGACGGCTCGGGGCAGAGACTTCGTGAACGGCGCTGCGGGCCCACGGCTCACAGGCGAGCCCACACTCTCGACGCGCGCGTCTTCTCCAGACCCCGCCCCTCCCGGCGTGCTAACGTCAGCCGTAGGGCGGGCGCTCCGGTCCAGAGCTGCTCCTACGGCTCCGCAGCGTCCTCTCTCCACCTGGGCTAGAGGCGGGGCCTAAGCAGGAGGAGCGTGGAGGGCGAGTGGAAGGCGGTGGGTAGGGCAGAAGGAAGAAGGGAGGAGGGCAGGGCTAGAGGCGGGGCTTAAGGGAGGCGTGAGGAGGGCGGGTGTAGAGGCGTGGTCTAAGGGGAGAGGCGTGGGATGGTGGGCGGAGCGCGAGGGTGGCCCTGGAGGCGAGGCCCAAGGGAAAGGAGGAGAGCCTGCAGGGCGGGTGGAGGGAGGGGCTGGAGGCGGGGCGCAGGCTGTGGGGCGGGACCAGCCGGGAGCTGTCGGGAGGCAGCAGCCCAGGCTGCTGGGGCCCCAGACAAATGGACCTTTACCTGTCAAGGTGCGAGGCCATTCTCGACATTTTGGGCATTTACACTCGCTAAGTCACTCGTGAAATATTTTATTGAGCGCCTAATCAGTCAGTGGCGGCAGCGTCCAAGGCTCTGAAAATGCCAAAATACACATCCCCAACACTAGGAGAGCAGCGCAAATAATCACAAACCAGTGAGCTAAATGCAATAATAAAAGTGTTGGGACATCAAGCTTGGGCCCAACAGGAACCGTTTCAAAGAAAAATGATTCTCAAATGAACTCAGTGGAACTGCACACTGTTTCGCACACCATGACTGTGAAGTAGAGAGAGGACTTTGGAGCCAAGTTTTACATGTCCCTCTGTTTTCTATTAGCTCTACCAGTAGTATGTATGATATAAATGGTAGCTAATGTTATGGATGGGGAGGAACAGGAAAGGCAGGAGATGAGGCTGAGGAGGGGTACAAAGGTGGCATCAGAAATGTCGTATATGCACATATACAGTTGGGAAAGATCTGGAAGAACAGACATTAAAATGGTAACAAAATTTCTCACCTGTCACAGGGGCAAAATCCAAAATATTGACAACTCACTCTGCTGGCTAGGCATTCTCAGAAATAACTGGTGAGCACACGGAATGGTGAAAGCCTATAGAAGGGAATTTGGCAATGCCTGCCTAAATGTTAAATGCGTGCATTCTTTAACCTGGATATTCCATTTATGCAAATGTACCCTAATGACGAGCTTGCACACATGCAAAATGCTGTGAGCACAAGGTTAATCATTACAGCATTGTTTGTAGTCACAATTATTGGAAATAAACATTCATCTATAAGGGACTGTTTAAAACAGTGTAAGTTTGGGGCACCTGGGTGGCTCTGTGGGTTAAGCATCTGACTTTTGATCTCAGGGTCATGAGTTCAACCTCCACTCTGAGCATGAGGCCTACTTTTTTTTAAAAAATGGTAAATTCATATCATTATTAAAAATGTTTTTTATCAAAGTATAATTGACATACAGTATCCTATTAGTTTCAGATGTACATGATAGTGATTTGATATTTTTATATATTATGAAGTGATCCCCATTAGTCTAAATACCATCTGTCACTATACAAAGTCCTTACAATATTATTGACTATATGCTCTAAGTGATACATTACATCCCCATAACTTATTTATTTTATAACTGGAAGTTTGTACTTCTTAATCCCCTTCACCTATTTCATCCACCACTCAATCCTTCCCCACCTGGTAACCAACAGCTGGTTTCCTGAATCTAAGAGTCCATTTCTGTTTTGTTTGTTTTCTTTTTTTATTCCACATATAAGTGAAATCATATGGTACTTGTCTTTCTCTGTCTGACTTATTTCATTTGGCATAATACCCTCTAAGTCCATCCATGTTATTACAAATGGCAAATTTTCATTCTTTTTTATGGATGAGTAATATACCACATCTTTATCCATTCATCTATGATGCTTAAGCTGCTTCTATGTTTAGCTATTATAAATAACGCTGCAATGAATATAGGGGTATGTATATCTCTTCCAATTGGTGTTTTGTTTCCTTTGGATAATACCTAGAAGTGGAATTGCTGGATCATATGGTAGTTCTATTTTTAATTTTTGAGGAACTCCACACTGTTTTCCACAGTGGCTGAGCCAATTTACATTCCCACCAACAGTGTATGAAGGTTCCTTTTTCTGCACATCCTCACTAACACATATTATTATTATTTTTTTATAATAGCCAATATGACAAGTGTGAGCTGATATCTTATTGTGGTTTTGGTTTTCATTTCCCTGATGATTAGAGATTTTGACCATATTTTCATGTGCCTGTTGGCCATCTGTATGCCTTCTTTGAAGAAATGTCTATTCAAGTCTTCTGCTCATTTTTTAATCAGGTTATTTGGGGTTTTTAAATATTAAGTTAGATAAATTCCTTATTATCTTTTGGATATTAACCCCTAATCAGATGTATGACTTGCAAATCTATTCTCTCATTTAGCATATTACCTTTTCATTTTGTTGATGGTTTCCTTCACTGTGCAAACATTTTTTAGTTTAATGTAATCCCATTTATTTTAGATTTGTTGCCCTCCTTCCTGAAGGGACAGGTCTAAAAAGTTATTACTAAGACTGATGTCAAAGAGCTTACTGCCTATGGTTTCTTCTAGGAATTTTATGGTCTCAGGTCTTACATTCAAGTCTTTAATCCATTTCGATTTTATTTTTGTATATAGTGCAAAATAGTAATCCAGTTTCATCCTTTTCCATGTGGCTGTCCAGTTTTCCCAGCACCATTTATTGAAGAGACTGTCTTTTCCCCACTGTATATTCTTGCCTCCTTTGTCATGGATTAATTGACCATATATGCATATTATTTTGTTTTGTTTTGTTTCTGAGCTCTCTGTTCTATTCCACTGGTCCATATCTGTTTTTGTGCCAGTACCAAACTGTTTTGATTTTATAGCTTTGTAGTATAGTTTGAAATCAGGGAGTATGATACCTCCAGCTTTGTTCTTCTCTCTCAAGATTGTTTTGGCTATTTGGAGGTCTTTGTGGTTCCATACAAATTTTAGGATTCTTTGTTCTTTGTTCAAATGCTATTGGCATTTTGATGGTGATTACACTGAATCTGTAGATTACTTTGGGTACTATGGACATTTTTTTTCTTTTTTTTAATGTTACTTTCAGTATAGCTAACATGCAGTGTTATGTTAATTTCAGGTGTACAATATGTGATTAAACAATTCCATACATTACGCAGTGCTCATCATGACAAGTATACACCTTAATCCCCATCACCTGTTTCATCAATCCCCCCCCCACCTCTTCAGTAGTATGGACACCTCAGCAATGTTAATCTTTCCATTCCATGAGCATGGAATATCTTTCCATTTGTTTGTGTTGTCAATTTCTTTCATCAATGTATTATAGTTTTCAAAGTACAAGTGTTTCACTTCCTTGATTAAATTTATTCCTAGGTATTTTACTCTTTTTGGTGCAAATTTAAATGTGATTGTTTTCTTAATTTCTCTGATAGCTCATTTTTAGTACATACAAATGCAACCAATTTCTGTATGTTATTTTTGTATCCTGAGACTTTACTGAACTCATTTATTAGTTCTAATATTTTTTTGGTGGAATCTTTAGGGTTTTCTATGTATAGTATCATATCATCTGCAAATAATGATAGTTTTACTTCTTCCCTTCTAATTTCAATGCCTTCTATTTCTTTTTATTTCCCAATATCATGGCTAAGACTTCCAATACTACGTTGAATAAAAGTGGTGAGAGCCGGCATCCTTGTCTTGTTCCTGATCTTAGAGAAAAAGCTTTTAGTTTTTCACCATTGAGTATGATGTTAGCTGTATGTTTGTCATATATGGTCTTTATTACATTGGGATACATTTCTTCTATACCCATTTTTGTTTCTTCCCATGCCCGTTATATTGAGGTACATTTCTTGTATACTGAATTTATCATATGGATGTTTAATTTTGCCAAATGCTCTTTTTTTGCATCTATTGAGATAATCATATGACTTTTATCCTTCATCTTCTTAATGTGATGTATCATATTGATTGATTTGTAGATGTTGAACCATCCTTATATCCCTGGAATAAATCCCTCCTTGATTAAAAAGAGTGTATGCTCCTTTTAATGTATTGTTGAATTCAGTTTGCTAGTATCTTGTTGAGGATTTTTGCATCCATGTTCATCAAGGATATTGGGCTATAGTTCTCTTTTTTTGCATAGTGGCTTAATATTTTGGTATCAGGGTAATGCTGGCATCATAAAATGAGTTTAGAAGCCTTGCTTCCTCTTTGATTCTTTGGAGTAATTTGAGAAGAATAACTACTAACTTTTTTTTTTTAATGTTTATTTATTTTTGAGACAATGCGAGAGACAGAGTGTGAGCAAGGGAGAGGCAGACAGAGGGAGACACAGAATCCGAAGCAGGCTCCAGGTTCTGAGCTGTCAGCACAGAGCCCGACGCGGGGCTCAAACTCACGAACTGTGAGATCATGACCCTTGCTGGAGTCGGACACTTAACTGACTGAGCCACTCAGGTGCCCCCTGCTAACTCTTAATGTTTCACAGAATTCATCTGTGAAGCTGTTTGGTCCTGGACTTTTGTTTTTCAGGAGTTTTTAAATTACTGCTTCAAAATCATTACTTGTAATTGGTCTATTCAGATTTTTTATTTCTTCATGATTTAGACTTGGGAGATTTAGTGTTTGTAAGAATTTACCATTTTGTCTTGATTGTCCAATTTGATTTGTCCAATTTGGCATATAATTTTCATAGTAGTTTCTTGTAATTCTTCATATTTCTGTGGTGTCCTTTACAATTTCACCTCTTTCATTTCTGATTTTATTTATTTGGGTCCT